TATATATATATATATATATATATATATATATATATATATATATATATATATATATATATATATATATATATATATATATATATATATATATATATATATATATATATATATATATATATATATATATATATATATATATATATATATATATATATATATATATATATATATATATATATATATATATATATATATATATATATATATATATATATATATATATATATATATATATATATATATATATATATATATATATATATATATATATATATATATATATATATATATATATATATATATATATATATATATATATATATATATATATATATATATATATATATATATATATATATATATATATATATATATATATATATATATATATATATATATATATATATATATATATATATATATATATATATATATATATATATATATATATATATATATATATATATATATATATATATATATATATATATATATATATATATATATATATATATATATATATATATATATATATATATATATATATATATATATATATATATATATATATATATATATATATATATATATATATATATATATATATATATATATATATATATATATATATATATATATATATATATATATATATATATATATATATATATGTTGTCTTCTTGCATCTACAATTGATACAACAACATTGTTGATTGTGGGTTGTCTTCTTGCATCTACAATTGATACAACAACATTGTTGATTGTGGGTTGTCTCCTATCTCTCAAATTCCAACTGTTTTGGTTGGGTAATTTTCTCAAACACTTTGTGTGCGTTCTCTATTTTTTGAAATCTCATCATGGCTCCTAAGATTGCAAGAGGTAAGGTTACTGGTAGAGGCAAAGAAAAGGTTGGATCCTCTTCTAGGACTCCAGAAACTATTTTTGATCTGGTTGATCAAGAGAACTTGGAGTCCTTCGAAGAAAAATGTCGAGGTAGGAATTTGTCGAGGTAGAATTACTACTTTCTATCATTGAATCAAGACTACAATGAAGACCCGGTTCGAATCTTTTATGCAGGATTGCACAAGCACAACAAAGCTGAGTTCCGTTTTCAGATTGGAGGTAAATCCTATACTTTTACAAATGAATTGTGGAAATATGTCCTTGATATCACAATAGGGAAGGAGCCTTTAGTTAAGGACACAAATGTTCATTCTGACTTTAAGTGGAGATTGCACTCAAATGAGCAGTTGAAGGCTCTGAGGGATGAGTATAATAATGAGATATCATTATGGGGTGTCTTAAGAAAGTGACCCGCATTCTCCATTGGATCGTCTCTCATGTATTGCATCCCAAAGGTGGAGCCTTTTCGAGGGTTGACAATACAGAGATTCATCTTGTTTATCTTCTTCTCAACAAGATTAAGATAAACTGGCCATACTATTTTGTGCACCGCATGTTTAGCATTCAAGCTTGCAACAAAGGGAGTGCATTTTGTTATCCATCTATGGTTGCCAAGATTCTTAACCATTTCAACATCACATTCCCAAACTTGGTCTATGTTTATCCAAGTGCAACAAATGAGTTCACTCAAAGGAATCTAACCAATATGAGGTATCATTGGGACTCCAAAAGAAAGGTGTATTACTATCAAGTTTCTTCATCAAAGAATAAAATCTACAACTTCGATGATTCTTTTGAGTCTATCGAAAGAGGTGATGATCATGGGGTAGAAGGCCATGAAGAAGAAGTTGGTGATGATCAAGAAGATGTTCCTACTATTGATGTGAATCTTGAGGAAAATACAACTTAGATGAATGTTAGTGCAGGTGTTCAACAAGAGCATCAACAGTCTTGGGAAGATGATCGGCATCAAAATTGTTGGATTGCACAAGAGGATATGATGTTGGATACTGATAGTGAATCCTATGAGTATGGATCCGGGTCTCATGAAAACATGTATGAATTTGCTACTGGAAATAACAATAAGGTGATGGCAATGCTTCAAGCTATGCAGAAGAAACAATATCAAAGATATGAAGAAGACCAAAAGTGGAAGGTTGAGTTTCAAGCCGGTGTTTATGACAGGTTGAACGCTCAGGATACTAATTTTGAGATGTTTGTATCAGTTGCTACCGCGCAATTCAAATCAATCAATGAAGCCATGAGCATGAATAATGGGATTGTCCAAGCCAAGATTAACAATGTGTATTATGCAATTGTTCAACATGATGAAGAATCCTCTGACTTTTATGATGAGATGCGCAGGGGTGGAAGAACCTATCGCAGACTTCATGATGGAGCTGGTGGATGTTGATGTGTTGTTTCGTTGTGTGATGTCTTGTTGTTTTTGTTTTACGCATCTCAGTTTCATGTTATTTCTGTTTTGAACTAGAGGTTGTTTGGCTATGTTATTTGAACAAAATGTGTGTGCAACGTTGCTTTGTTATGTATTATTGGATTATATGGTTTGATATTGTATTGTTTATTATTAATTCTTCTAGCATGATAATTGACTATTTTTGTTCTTGTTATAGATGTGCTTATCCTATGTTACATTTTCACGTTGGACTAAGTAGTGACATGTTCTTTTCACTATGTCGAAATCATGTGTGTGCGTCATCGAGAGTTCCATTGTGTTGTGGTACATAGTTGTGACTCTATTACAAGCAACGCAAATAGTTGTATCTTTATTATTAGTTATTTATCAATTTCGCATCATTACATATATAAGGGGATATGTGATTATTGCTCTTATATGCAAAAACGCCTCTGAGTGATGTATTGATATGTCTATTGGAATATGATACTTCTCATGATTTTTTTTCTTCTTTTTGATGTTGTCAAAGGGAGAGAAGCAATACGCGAGATGAAGATGGAAAGCACAAAGTCAAGGGGAGCCTATGAAGTGCCTTGTTGCAATTTTTGCCATCATAAAAAAGGGGGAGTATGTGAGTCTGCAAATTCTCTGTTAGATGTTTTGCATGATGTCGAAACTTTAAGTATCTATAATTTTGTGTGGCACTCCTGCATTAGAGGTCTTAGGAATTAGGAATCAAAAATCACTTCAAATGTCCAAAATCATGAAAATAAGTTTCTGCACAAAAATGCACTGCATGTATCGGCACATTCACATTTCAGGCCGACACATATAACTCATTATTTAAGTCTATAGGTTTTGTTTCGTTTTGGTTGACACATATCTGTTTCAGATCGGCACATACTGAAAGTTTCAATAGTATATGTTGGCACATACGTGTTTCAGGCCGACACATCTACTGTCCTAAATAAGGCTATAGGTTCTGTTTCTCTTGGGTCAGCACATGCTGTTATTTTTTACAGTATGTGCCGACACATCCATCATTCAATCCGACACATATTGATGAAGTTGGTCAACTTATTTTTCTCTCTTAGTCAGAAAGTTTCCTTTTGTCACCAATCTTCAAAAACTATAAATACATCTTTCATACTTCATTCCAAAATCGGTGATACCATAAAATTAGACTGCATTTGCTCACCATCTTCAACCTTAATCCTATATCTACACACTGACAAATCACACATAATAATCTTTTGTTGGGGTACCAGTTAGGTGAAGGCCTGATAAGGTCCAGTTAGGTTCTTGTGTAGCCGAGATATTGGGTTGAGATTTGCAAGGGTCTTCATTCGGAAAAACTGCAGGTTTGTCCTCCAAGATCGAGTGAAGATTTAGGGGTTTTCGTGCAAGACGTTCAAGAGAGGATTGCGGCATTGTGAAACCCTTTGGAGATAAAGAATGCAAAGGAAGTAGTGGAGAACGACGAATCGAATTGAAGTCTTGTGGAACAATCGGTGCAATTGATCGTGCGCAAAAGCTTTGAAGATAAAGAATGCAAATGAGTAGTAATATCGACAAGTCAATTGACACCCATTGTTGTCTTGGTCTTACTCAAGATCAAAAGAAGAAAAGGGGTTGAATCAACATCAGAACCGGTTGTGTTTGTATGGTTGCTTTGAATAGTTTTCTTGTATATCAATTTTTTGCATACTAAGAAAGTATCCTAATCCCACATTGGAAATTAGGTGTAGCCGTACCCACATGCGAGGACGAACGTGGGGAACTGCGTGAACAAATCCTCGTGTCGATCTCTCTCTTATATTTTTACTAGTTTTATTTTTCATTACACAATTTATCAAATAACATCGAACGATTGATCGACTCATAAGAATTTTCCTGTGATCTTTCTGTTTTAACTTGATTGTTGATTAGCTTATAATCACTTTTGATTATACATGGTTTTCATATCAACAACAACATAAAGGAAATTCTAAAAATTCATTCGCACGCTAAGTGTTTGATAAATTGCATAGTTCAATATTTTTGCTCATTATCATTGGAAATAGCATTACTAAGTAATTAGTTTAAACTAGTAATAACGTGATAGACGATTAAAGGTTGAATTCGATTATTTTGTTTGTCATTCCATACTTGGCTTTGCATATCCGAGTTTCCAATAACTAGGTTCGTGTAGACGACTTTTATCGATCCATACCAAAATCTTTCGCACGCACTCTTTTTCAAACAACTTTAAAACCCAAATTTTATTTGGTGATTTTTGGATTGGTGTCTACTCACAATCGTCGTGACAGTATCACTCTAATTTCTTCTCTATGAAAAGTTGGTGTAGTTTTTTCCGATACAAATAATCTTCAATTTGCACTCTCAAAAAAAACTCACACAACCCAATTACATGCAAATAAATATTTTTTTGAAATTTTAATATAACGATTACAAATAATAAATATTTTTTGAAATTTTAATATAACCATTACAAATTAAAGACACAATGTTTAAACTAATAATAGAGAAGATTATGTCACTAAGTGAAAAAAATGATCAATATTATCCCTTACAATCAATAATTCTCTCCTGTACATCGATAAACAGGCAAAGAAATTAATATCTTCTACACACTCTAGGATAATAATTTCATGAAAGAAAGAAGAAGCCAAAGCAATTATCATGGCATGTGGATAACACATCGAAGACACTTTCCTTCTTTCATGAGATTGAAAGCTTTGTTAATGTCATCAAAATCCAAATTGTGTGTTATGTAGTCATCGATCTGAATTTCCTGCATATTTATGTATCATACAAAACATTAGCACATACTTTTATCATAACATTCAATCAAACTTGTTTTACCTTGTTCATATATTTTTCTACTAGTGAAGGAAGATCAGTTTTAGGTTTCCATCCTCCAAATAGAGATCCTTTTAATGTTCTTCCTGTTAAGAATAATCCATAATGAGCCGACATCTCGGGTTTCACCTTTGGCACACCAAGTGTTACAGTCAAACCCGAGCCCTATAACAAACATCGACAGATAGAATCAAATTCAAGCTAGGCTCGTTGTATAGATTAATAACTTAATTAAACGCCTGTTTCTGTGTGAATTGAAGGGTATAGAGTATTATTACATCACAACATGATTGCAATGCGGTTGTTATCATATCAGTGTCACCGACACATTCGAAACAGAAATCGGCTCCGCCATCAGTAATGCGCTTAATAACCTGAAATTTTCAACACAAAACTGGTTGCGATGGTCATTTATAAGATTTTTTGAAAAGGTTTTAAATTTTGGAAATTTTGTAATGAGATGAAGAATCCACCTGCGCGATAGGTTCTTTGTACGAATTTGGATCAACAACTTCTGTAACCCCGAAAGATATAGCTGTGGTGACAATCAACAAAAAATCAGATAGTAAACCAAGAGGTTGTGATTTATGACAGGTTTTACGGTTTAAAAATAATTTAAGAGTAATCCAGAAAACTAATTATGTTACCGTTTTCACACTTATGTGGATTGCTGTCAACACCGATTATTCTAGATGCGCCTCTTAGTTTGGCACCTTGAGCAACCTATTGAACATGAAAGTTATGATTTGCGAAATATCATATCATTTGTCTGTTAAGAAGATTATAAGACCTCGAGCACAAAGAGAATTCGTAAATAGTTGTTGAGTTGTTGGACTTACAGAAAGACCAACGGTTCCGAGACCGAATATAACAACTGTTGATCCTTTTGTCACATCAGCAACATTCCATGCTGCACCCAGACCTAATGCAAATTTATCAAATAATCAATAACACAACAAAAAACTCATTAATGGCAGTAGAGTTTCAATGCTCTCCACGAACTTTACCTGCAGCGACGCCACAGCTTAGAAGGCATATTTTGTCGAGAGGTACATGAGGACTAACTTTCACTGCACATCCAGAATGGACAACTGTGTATTCGCTAAAACTTGAAACACCGCAATAATGATAAACAGGCTTCCCTTTTATTGAGAATCTTGTCTTTTGATCACTATGCATTAAGCCTTTTCTTTCCAATCCCAAAACTTGACAAATATTACTTTTTCCTGATTTGCACGGCTTGCATGACATGCATTCTCCGATGAAAACCGTTAGCACATGGTCGCCTTCTTTGAATTCAGTCACTTCTAGCCCCACACTCTCAACAACCCTGCAAAACCATTACACTGTTGGTTCTAAACTTTGATATTACGACCAAAAAAATGCGGACAAATCCAGATGAATTTGCTGCAATTGTGATTGTAGACCACAATTTAGGATAACTGCATAAGACTAATGACTCATTTTAAAATTAATCCAAAAAAAGAACATTATGCGTAGATTACCCCGATGCTTCATGGCCAAATACGCGAGGAAATATAGCCTGCATAATAAAAACTTATGTTAGATGTTATTATTAGCTTTTACAAACAACACAAGCAGACATACTTTTGAGGAATGCAATGTTTAGAAATTCTTAATACAATAATTAGTGATTATCCGTGAAGAACTAACATAGACACAGACATCGTAGATAGAACATATCAGTATTAAGACATTGACCGTCAACACCGATAATTGTTTAAGAAAAAGAAATAATTGAATGTAAGCATATGTCGTAAGTCATACTAGTGTTGGAGATACCTCTAATCAGAAGCGTCATTGCCTATAAAACACGGACACCTGAGTGCCCGGCACTTGTGTGACACTCGTATGTCACGTGTCAGAAAATTCAAACAAGTGCCCCTAAAAAAAGTGGTATTTTTCTTTGATTTGACACTCTTTAAATCGGTGTCCGACACCCGTATGACACTCATACAACACGTGTCGGACAATTCACCCAAATATTTGATTAGACATAGTTAATCATTAATCTGGTCAAACAAAATGTTGATTGGTATATATAATGTTGTTGAATTACATCTCACAGAGGAGAAAAGTAACTAGAAAGTGATGATATTAAAGTAAAAGGGTAGAATAGAAATAATGATAAAGTTACATGAGATTCCCAAGCAGAAAGATCACTACGACATAGAGAGGTGGAGACAACTTTAATCCTAATCTCGAATGGTTGGGGAGGATTGACCTCCACTTCCTCCATTACCAATGCCTCTCCAGCTCCCCATGCCACTGCAGCTGTATGTTTCATAAACAATGGACATAGGTTATAGATAGATACATATCATAACATAATTCGTAAAGTGAACTCAAACTCACCTTTGCAGGTTATGACTTGAGGGGTTGAGGATGCCATGTTAGCTGTTGATGTCTATGGAACAAGAAATACAAAACTTAAATTGTTGTTGCCGGTGGTAGGTGGAGAAATTTTGCCATGTTTTAAAAACTGAATCCATTATTTGAATTAATGAAAAGAATATAATTTTGTAAATATTTAATACCTCTTTTAATTCTTTAATTTTAGCCATTCTTTCATTTTGATCCTTAAAAAAATTGTTACATTATGCTCTATTAACTTATATTTTGTTATATATATATATATATATATATATATATATATATATATATATATATATATATATATATATATATATATATATATATATATATATATATATATATATATATATATATATATATATATATATATATATATATATATATATATATATATATATATATATATATATATATATATATATATATATATATATATATATATATATATATATATATATATATATATATATATATATATATATATATATATATATATATATATATATATATATATATATATATATATATTAGTCTTTTCTATTAGTTTTTTTTTGAAAAAACATTATAATATGCATTGTTGGACTTTAAATAACTGAGGTGTAATTTCTGTATTTATTTTAATGGATGAGGTGGAATTTATATTACACTTAACATGCATTGCTGTTACAAGTCCGTCACCATCCAAAACTAGAAAAAAAAACTTCATAAGGGTGACAAGTCTATTTTAAGCCAACTTGATCATTATTATGTCTGCTAAGATTTTGTAATGTCTTTTAATGGTCTGACACTGTTCACATCATTCATTATTTTAAGAACACTTTCATTTTAGTAAAAACATTTGAGGATTTAACCCTGATTTGGAGAAGAAAATAAATGGAAGAAGACTAGAGTTGCAAATAGAACCCTATGTAACGTAATATAACTATGTGTTGATGTGGAATTAAAATTTACTTACTTGACATGCCGGATCACACAATGCTAACGTTTTTTAATACAAACTAACATAATAGACCAAATGGTTTAATAGAACTTAAGTTAAAGGATCATTATATAACATTTTTTTAGTTCGAAAACCAAAACAAAACTTCACTTAAAGTTAAGGGGCATCATAGTTATTAATTTATACCTAAAATATATAACTCACTCAATTTTTTAAAAAGAAAATGATTTCATTCTAAAGATATCATTCAAACAAATATACCAGTTATTTCATTAATTATATAAAAAAACAAACACACAGTAATTTCATTTTTAAGATATTAATCAAAAAAACAAAGTAATTAATATATTTCAATTAAGGTCAAATTGTTTCAAAAGTATAATAATATATTTCAATTAAGGTCAAATTGTTTCAAAAGTATACGAATCCGATCCTTGATTAAAAATCTTGAGACAAACTCTAGTTTAACAACTCTCAGTTAAAAATATAATTTCTAGTTAAAACAGATATTGATCCGATTTTATTTATTTTTCAATCAGTTATCAGTCTTTCAAAAATCATTTCATTTCAGAATAAAAAACCACAAATAAAAGAATCAATAATAACAACACTTATATAGCTTGGAGTCTTTATTTGACAATTTGGAAGACTAACCAAAATCCCAAGTGTCTCGCAACATCACAAACTTTTGTATGGTATTCATCAGACCAAACTCATTAAATAGAACTTTTTAAAATTGCATGATGTATTACACAAAATTACTCTTAATCATTTCTTGACTAGAACATATAGAACAACGCGATTGCTGCGATAATCAGGATGCCATAGAGTTTGATCCACACGCCCAATCGTGAAATCATTCATTGCAGCTTCTAAGAAGTACTCAAGAATTGCATCTGAAATCAGAAGACAATATTTTTCACAACTACAGTAAAGGATTGAGGTCCATATAAGAAGAAAGAAGAATGATCTTCTTACCATTTCTAAGTTCCCCAGCCAGAAATACTGTCGTGTTAGGTCCAGAGAGCTGAGCAAGTGTCTCTAGCAGATCCACAACAGCGCTTTCACTGTACACCACATCAGATCCTAGTACTGAAATTAATAAATCAAGTGAGTTTCATTCATGTGCAAAACTTTAAAAACGGCCAACAGATCGTAAACAAGGTGCGCTTTTGTAATAAAATGTGAAAACGGAAAATGAGAGTAGGAAACATTTTCTGAAAGTATCTTATGGTAGTGTTGTTAGATAGCTACTATAGCACTGTAGTGCGGTAGAATTTGATAACACTTGTTAAGGTGATCATAGCAATACAAATGACGGCAACATGTCACAGAGTTCATTACTAGTTAAAAAGGGTTGAGGGAGGGTTATTACTGTAATCAGGTGTGGGGACAATGAGTTTTGGATCAGGATCATCTCCCCATGTGAGTTCAGTTGCTGTTATAGAACCGCGCAGAGAGATATGTTTCATATTGGTTTC